GATCTTTCTATCATCTCTCTCAGTTCTTCATTTCTTTTCTTACCTCTATCCATAAATGTCCCTTCTGTCTCTCTTGATGTCTTCATTCTAACTAACTTGATTTTTTCCCTTATATCATAAATACCCCATTAGAGTCTTTCAAGCAATATAAAATTATAAGGTGGTTACATTCTATTTTTCAGGTGAATGATTACAATGAATACAGATATAAACATGTTTCTCATTTCCCTTACATAATTAAAACAAAATCATCCCAAGAACCCACATGCATTCACCTCTAAGTAACTTGTAGTTTAACAGAGTATAAGCAATCGGGGCATTTTCTCAGCCAGTTCTTTTCCTGGCAGGCTGTATACTGTGGTTACAAAGATAGGACCAATCATTTTATTATTTATCTCTAAAAGTAAACTTATAAGAAATCTTAGAAAGGGGCTGGAGAGATGGCTCAGAGGTTAAGAGGACTGGCCGTTCTTCCAGAGGTCCTGAGTTCAATTCCCAGCAACCACATGGTGGCTCCCAACCATCTGTAATGAGATCTGGTGCCCTCTTCTGGCATGCAGGCAGAACACTATATACACAAAAAATAAATGGTTATGTCTGGGATGGTGATGGTGCACATTTTTCTGTTCACAAATATCTGTATTCATATCTTTTACAACTGACCTGTCGAAGAAAGACTTTATCTAGACTTTTACCCAGTTCATAGGAGGTTACCTCTCTAATTCTTTGGAATTCCTGGAGATAGTGGGAAGGCTGCTTTATGATGGTAGGTCATGAAGCTTTATGCTGCTCAGTTCTTTCACAGTTCATGCTAACAAGACAATTCATATTGGGAGCTCACCATTTCAGAAACACTGACCGTGCTATTAAAGTGTGCTGGCTTTGAGCCATAAGATGTTCACCCTGGCAGGGAAGTGATGCTGAAGACTGAGTTCAATCTCTTGTAAACCAAACAATCACACCTATATAATGAACCCTGATTAATCTCTGAACATCAGAGCCCAGATGAGTGCCCCCTGGTTGGCCTATTCTGTATACTGTCTCTTATTAACATTGTGGGAAAAGATGCATAAATGGGGTCAATGGAAGTTCCCTATTTGGGACCCTCCCTGACTTTGCCTGGGATGTCCCTCCATTTAGTTCTGCTTTGTGTTCTTCTACATACCAAAACTATACTACTAATATAGCAGAATCATTAGTTCAGTGTGTCATCCTACAACTTATAAATCTGCAGGTATCAAGGGATCCTGGAACTCTGCAGATAGTTGACTTGAAGTAATGATATCCTTGGGATCTCCTGAACTTGAAGCTCGAGTCTGAAATGAGGACAGTCTTTGGAGTCATGGCCTAAACTTGTAGAATAATTTAATTTGTAAATTAAATTTTTTCAGCTGTGGCTTATCAGAACAGCCAT